TTTTCTTTCTTCTTATTCCCCCTCTGTTTTGGCTTCTTTTTTTTTTGTTCTTTTCCCTTCTTACTCTCCTTGATGGTGATCCAGTGCAAAAGACCTTGGCCCCACCAAATCTTATTATTTACCGTAAAGAATTTTTTTTTTTTTTTGTATTCTTTGATTTGGACCTCCTCTCCCGCTCTCTAATGGATGGGTGGTAAGGTATCTGTGACGAGTGATGTCGTACTATCCTACACTACCCCCTTGTTCCCTCTTGTCCGTGTTCCTATTGCTCTCTGACCGGATGGAGTTTCCTTCTGTCGCTTGTCCATGTGTATACAGTTGTATAGTGCCAGTAGAAAGTGAAATGAGCCATGCGTCGGCATGGATTGAATGATTTTGAGTATGTTCCCGTCGTGTGGATGTAGGTCGGGTTGATGGTAGCATCTGGCTGACCCACGAGTATTCGAGGCTGCACCGAGCGGGGTCTAGGTCTCCCGAGAGTGGTTCCTACGAGACTGATATGACTCGCTGGACCTGAGCATGCACTAGTAGAAACGATATCCCGTAGAGGAGTTGATCAAGGCAACGCAAACGGTCGGACGAGTCTGCCACAAGGCTAAGGTATGTATGTATATATGTACATGCAAAGGTGGAAGAACAACAGAACGAAAGGAAAAGCACGAAAGAAAGAGACACCAACGCTCCCATGCATAAAGGAAACAGACAAGCCAAGATCTGAAAGAAATGAAACCAGGAAACGACGCGTCACGATTACTCCGTCTTCTTTTTCGAATCCTCCTTTCCCCCCAATCCCAGCAAGGCCAACGGTCCTTTCTGTCCGCGTTCCTCGAGCTCCTTCTTCCGCTCTTCCCTCGCCTGACGGCGTTCCGCCTTGTATTCTTCCCAGGAGTGGGTGGTGAGGGCGGTGGTGCTGGCATCGGCGTCGGTCTGCGCTGGGGGCAGCGGACGGACGGCATCCTCGCCGGCGTAGGCGCGGATGGCGGTGCGGAAGGACCATTCGACGGCCTCGTCGACGGGTTCGTCGAAGATGTACGGGAGGAAGGGGACGACGGAGAGACCAAGCTGAGCGAACGGCTCTGTTAGCACTCCACTCCGATCACAACGCACAGCGAAAAGGAAAACTCACTCCAATAGGCGCCCAAGTGCGGAACCAGACACTCTTGGAATTTTTCAAGGCGCGGCCCGAATATTTCACCACGGAATGAATGGTCAGAGCGGGTAGTCCCATACTGGCGATGCTCTGGAACACGGCACGCTTGGCCATGACCACACGGTAATCCTCGATGAGCGGAATCCGAGTCGTGGGCCAGGGCTCCAGGGAATCCGACTCCCCCGTGGAGCAGCGTAACGAGCCGCCGACATTGCCGGTAGCCATGCCCTTGATGACTTGATCTTGGGTGAGATCCTTGGCGTCCTTGTAGGCCTCGCCGGGCGGCGCGAGCACGCGCCGATTGCGCAGGTAGGCCTTGTAGCCTTCATGGGCAACATCGCCGATCAGGTACGACCAGGAGATAGCGTAGGCGGAGCGCACCAGATATGGATGAGCTACGGGACGGAAGGATTCGCCTATGTCCGAGGTATAGGCGACGTAACGATGGGCGGAGAGCAACACGGTGCGGAGTCGATTGGCGTATCCGGCATATCGGTAGGGAGTGTCGGTGGAATCCACGGAGCTATTGTTGTTGGGCAGATGATGATTCGGTTAGTGCGAGAGTCTTGTGCCAGTCCTTAGCGGGAACAACAACGAAGAGGAAGGAAGTGTGTTTGGGTACTCGCAGGAAACCCCTGGTTTACTGATGGATGCATTGACGTAACAAGGTTCCCTTTTTGCGGGGACAAGGAACAATGTGGGGAAGAAGAAAGAAGAACCACAACATACTAGGACGAGTAGATGTCATCATAGAAGCCGTCGTCGTGATCCACGAGTTGCTGTAGTTGCGGAGGCAGTTTCTCTCGGGGAATGGGCTTCTCCGGCGAGTCCTCAGGCTGGGACTGTGATCCCCAGAGCATGATGAAGATGATGATCGTATGGACTTCGTGCGCGTTACAGTCGTCGGGGCCGTGCGAGTAGTCGTATCGACTGTCCGATTCCGAGATGAGTGAGTAGGAGAGACTTGAATGAGGGAGGAGGACCGGACCGGAGGGGATGCTAATGAAGGAATCCCCAACGTGCCATAGCCGCACACGCTTGCCGACCCAGCTCCAGCTCCAGCGAGGAAGAGTTCACTTCCCCCGAGGTTGTTTCTTCCTGTGATCCGGACGCGCCCTCATGTTTCTGTCGTTTGGTTTCTTTTCGTTTGCTCTTTCCCGTGGTTTGCGAGTGGCTCTTCCTTTCCTCAGAGTGTGATCCTTGGCCTCCATTGACCCTTTGGCCATGCTGAAGACAAGCAACCGCGAAGGACGCGGCCGGATGGCATGACCGATCTCTTCCGACGTCATGGCCGCGGAACCTCGGATAGACCCGGGAGAGTTTCCCGTGACGGCGGCTGGCTCAGGTGCATTGCGGATGGCGATGACTAAGATAGTGTACATAACTACGCAGATGGTTAGTGCACTCGTTATGCGATTAGCAGTTCCTGCGCAGGACTGAACGGTGGCTGGTGCACCAGCCACCGGCCTGCACCGCCTCAGCCTGAGTAAGCCCCTGCAATCCGAAACCCGAACCTCGCCTTTCCTTGAGATCATTTCGCTTCACTGCCTCTCCGCCGTTGTTTCGTCCCTCCACTCCCCCGTCTCAATCAACTCCCGTCTACCCGTCATCATGGTTGTCTACTACCAGCTCGCCGGCAAGCAAGTCGGCTCCCACGTGGTATGTCCCTAATGCTGCCTCGCCGGCTCCCCTGGCTCCAAATTCTGTTCGCCGCGTGATGGAGCTGCGATGGTCTTGACGGCCTTGCGTGGAAGATCCCCCGTTGCTGATCCTGTCGTTCTCCTAGCTTGCCATGGGTGTTCTCGGCTCCCTCTTCGGCGGTGTCTACCTCGCCACCCGCGGTGGCTCTCAGCCCAAGCAGGCCGCTCCCCCAATCCAGGCTTCTTCCAAGGACGAGGAGACCTTCATCCAGTATGTCCTCTCTCCCTCTCTCCGTTCCCTACCTCCTTCCCGACGGGTGACGTCGGATGCTGTTGCGTCTGTTGCGTCTGTTGCAATCGTCTTGGAGCGATGAGCGACGACAGTGTCATTGTACCAGCATTGAGCTAGTCCACGGCCGGGAAACAGAATCACAACCCGGCCAATCCGCCATCAGGTCGTTCGACGGGAGCCATGAAACCTCGCTAACCATGCGGTCAACCACAGGGACTTCCTGAAGCAAGTGAACGGAAGCGGGGAGGAGAAGAAGAGCGGCCATTAAGATCTCCGCAGGAGGAGAAATGAATCGAGGACCGTCCCGGAGCCCACGAAATCTTGACGACGACTCTCCCTGACTTGAAGAGCGTCAATCGTCTGATCCGAAACAGGATGGCAACTGGGGCGGGCCTTGTATTATGTGTCGGACTGCTGGGCGGCTTGTACCAGTGGCGAGGTGTGTGATCTGTACATATAGAGGTATACACCGCATTGAGCTATGTTATTCTATGCTGGTAATCATCAACAAGAGTTGGAGAATCGTGTCCGGTGCACCGTTCGTTGGTTTCGTAGGGCGGTTTGACCGCCGATCCATACGTGGCGTAGACCGTTTGATAGGCGATATTTTCATGTACCTTTGCTATAGCAATCTAAACTACTGCTCCATACGTGATCGAATTCGACTCGACGCATCCACCAAAGTCGACCGAACCTGGCGTCACCCACGGAGTCACCTGACCCCGCCGTAGTGGTTGCGGCCAGAAAGATTCTCTCGATCCTCTCACTCCTCATCCGCACATCGACCGACCCCTCACGCCAGCTGCACTCCGCCGTGGCCACCATGAAACCGCTGCCCTTTCCGGTGGCCCTGAATATCGGTACGGACATCGTGCATCTCCCCCGTATCACGCGCCTCCTCCACCGCGGCGACTACCTGACACGCTTCACGCGACGCATCCTCCACGACCATGAACAACGCGACTTCCGCACTCGCTTTGCCCTGCCGGCTGCCACGAATCCGAATACCACGGACATGGCCCGCTGGCTCGCTGGTCGGTTCGCCGCCAAGGAAGCCGCACGCAAGGCTGCACCGAATGGAGCGGCGAGCCTGGGATGGAAGGACGTAATGGTACGGGTGAGCGAGACGGACAGGGGCAGACCGGAAATAGTCTACTTGGACGGAGAGACGCCCCGCATTGGGAAGCTGTCCATCTCACACGACGGGGAGTACGTTATTGCTACTGTTCTGGCGGTCGGATGAGGTTGATCTCTGGAGCGTGGGATGACCATCTGTCCTGCCTGAGAGATCACATATCACAGCTCGGACCAGATGGGATGCGAGCTTCGCTCCATGGGTTCAAACCGCTCGTCGGCGCGGTGGCTACGTGTCTCATCTACTGGGAGTGGGATTGGGCATTGGGGTGGAGGACAAGGTACCTCGGTGCGTCTAAACGTGGAGCATTCCCGTTGCCACAACCTCAGCGACAATCCAGCCCTTCGATGGGAAGCACTACGAGGTTGGCGATATGGCTACAGTCAGGGCAGGCGCTTGGGCACATCTGCAACCCGTATGTGTCGAGCCGAGGTACATGCCTACCATGGAACGACAGGACGACGTCCTTTATGGACGGAGTAGCAGTTCAACAGAGAGGTGAATTCAAGACGCTTTGTAGAGTGTATGTAATCTATCAGGATTGATGCGGTGGGACCGGGACAGTTCATGAACCAGTCTTCCGATTTGTCCGCGCATCATCTCCATCGCCCCATCCTCTTCGACCAGGATTTCCCATCATCTCCACCACTGCATGCAATCAGTCGTGCGGTACGCGACGCACCTCGTGACATCAGGATTGGAGTGTCTCTCCGGACGTGTTTGATAACAGTCGTCAAAGTCTCAACCAGCCGCCCGCACCCATCTGACTCATCGCGGGGTAAATAAAGAGTCTGTGCATTTATTCGGCATCCAAAAGACCTCACCCCCTCATTGTCAACTCCACATCGGCAATGCCTTTCTCACATCACAGCCACTCCGGGCAATTCTGCCCGGGGCACGCCAAAGACTCGCTGGAGGAGGTCATCCAGCTCGCCATCGCCAAGAAATTCCAGGTCTTCTGCCTGACCGAGCACATGCCGCGCTGCCAAGAAGATTTCTACCCGGAAGAGGTACCTCGCCTGACGCTCCACGGTAATCCGCACAGCTAACGGTGGCGGTAGATCGAGGCAGGCAACACGGAGACGGGCCTGGTGGCCAACGAAGCCGCGTACTTCCAGGAGGCGCAACGGCTGCGCGAAAAGTATGCAGACCGGATCAAAATCCTGATCGGGTTCGAAATTGACTGGATCCGTCCGGAATCCCGCACACTCATTGAGGCATCTCTGGCGCGTCACCCCTTCGAGTTCTTCATGGGCTCCGTCCACCACACGTTGACGATCCCCATCGACTACGACCGGGATATGTACGTGCAAGCGCGGGATCTGGCCGGCGGTACGGACGAACAGCTCTTCCAGGTGTACTTCGACGAGCAGTATGAGATGCTGCGGCAGCTGAAGCCGCTAGTCGTGGGGCATTTCGATCTGATCCGGCTGAAGAGTGACGACCCCGAGCGCAGCTTTACCCAGTGGCCTGCCGTTTGGGAACGCATCCTACGGAATGTGGACTTCGTCGCCTCGTACGGCGGGCTGTTGGAGTTGAATTCGGCTGCACTGCGGAAGGGCATGAGCGAGCCGTATCCCAAGGCGGAGATTTGCAAGGTATGCTGCGCCACCCAGGAAGGAAACGACAGCGAGAAGACTAATGACCGTAGGAATTCCTGGCGCGAGGAGGTCGTTTCTGTTTGTCCGATGACAGCCATGGGCTCGACCAGGTGGGGCTGAACTTCCATCGTGTGCTGGCCTTTGTGGAAGCCGTAGGTATCTCGACGTTGCATTATTTGGATTTGGCAGATGAGCCGGCCGTGGACGACCGATTCCCGCGGACCCAGATTCGGTCAATATCATTGGAGGAGATGAAGACGTTGGCATTTTGGCAGTAGCCGACGGAGCTGTCGTGTTGGTGCTAGATCTAGAGATATCGTTCGTTATGCATGCCGGGAGGAAACTATCCCAGGCTATCTTCTGTAGCTAATTTTCACATTGTTCCACGTGGCTGAGTGAGCGTTGGGTTTCATTGAGAGATCCTATCAACCATGGCCCAGTCACGACGGTTGTCGGGTTTATCACCTGTGCTGGAGAAAGCCTTCTCGCTGAACCCAAGTTTTGCCCTCACATAGCCAGCAGTTGGTGGCATAACTGTAATACCAAAGTCCTCACGTCCGTATTTACTCGGGCATCATAGTACATCCATGAACGCTAATGTAAGGCTGCGCGACTTGGATTGAATCAAAGCTAGAAATCAGGGTCAACATGACCAGACTACTCGAATTTGCGAGTCGTTTGACAGTCTTCTAGGACGACGATGGCTAGATTCCTAGCAATCCCCACAGATGAGCACACCCCATCCATGGACTTCATTAAAGCATTCGACAAACCTTCGCTCATCCGCCTTCACAGCACGATGCTTTTGGCACGCTCCTGGGTCCTGATGCTTCTTTGCCGTAAGTTTCGCTTCCAGAAGATGATCTTCCCACGGCGTGACTGGGGCGAAGGCTGATGTGATGTTGGACAGTTACGCGGAGGATCTGGTGAAGCCATGGTTCAACCTCGCTTTTGCCATCACTGACAGGAGAGATTCATGATCAAGGAGAGAGAGCTTGTGACTCTCGCAGTTCTGACCGAGTATGACACGCCGTATGTCTTGTACGCGCATGCCGAAAATGCCTTGGCGGCTGGACTGTCGCGAGAGCAAATTCAGCAAGCGGTACATGGGAAGGTCCCCGGTGGACTCGACGAACAGGAGGCAATGGTACAGTTGCGGCGACCAATGCAGGATGAGGAATATGATGAGGCTGTCGGGATCCTTGGTCGCGAGCGAATCGCCGGGCTGGTCCACATTGCAAGTCTATACATCTATGCCGTAATGTTGACGAACATTGGCAGCGATGGTGATGTTCCACCCACGAAGGAAGGCAGTTGCATTGCGACCAAGAATCCCGCTTTGGGGGAATGGGTTTCTTGGGGGAGGATGCTGCATACAGATAAAGCTGCGTGCATGAGTCTTTTGCCTTATGTTGGAGATACAAGCCTCTCTCGCATATGTTAGGGTCAACATTACTCCGAAGATAGAGATCACCTCTCTAGTCAGTTGCCTTGGGCTGCTTCCCGTTCTCTCGTAACGATGTTCCCAAGGACCAAGACTGAGATGTCCCCTGCAGACCAAAGACAGGCATATTCATTGTGAACTCCATCATTCAATCCCAAAGGTGTACTGCCGTCAATGAACCGGTATGTAATGGTTGTTCGATCTTCCGTCTGTGTTGGGGTCTCAAGGGTCGTTGGCAGAACCTCTACAATGCATTGATAATGAGCTTACCCGCCATAGAGGTTGACTCGGCCTGTCAGCAACTTGTGGATACTATTCTCTTCGACACAACTGACTCCGGACTGGAAGATAATCCATTATGTAGGTGAAGGTGACCCCAGAAGGAAGAGCGGAAAACAGCTGGGACATCCACATTCCGGTTCACGTTCACTGACGACAATACCCCCTGAGGAAGGATCGGAGATACATCGAGTGACGGGTCGTAGAAGTCAGTCGGACACCACCAGTATCTCTGCCTGAGTGAATGGCGAGTAGAGATTGGTAGAGATGAGCTGTCTTGCACCGTTTCTCTTAGTGAGTAATGCACCAATGAGGAGAATGCCTAGATCTCGTGAGATGGCTTTCTCGCCGTGTGCGGGTTGGCTATATCGCCCAAACGTATACTTCGGGTTTATAGGATATGCAAGCTGTCAGCTTGTGCCACTGCATGATTCAAATTACACATGAAAGCGCCAGCCAAGACTGCCAATCCACAGATACTTCAGATACCTCTGTCCAAGAGCTTTCCCGGTTTTACCTGTGTAGGGGCCGCATGATCAGTCTTCTGCATGGTGTACAGAAAGGAGACCCTCGTGCAAGCCATAGTACGTTCTAAAGCAGTGACGAAGTCTGCAAAGCCCTTACACTGGCCGGATTTCCAGTAGCTCCAGTCAAAGTGGCTCCCGAACGGCTCCCTCACGAAGTTGCAGTCATCGGTGTGGGCCAGTCGGAGGAATTGCGTTGATCTTGACAATCGCCAGTAGTATTGAGGCGGTGACTAGAAGGACTACAGATGTTCTGCTGGTGAGCAACGTCAAATCATCTAACAGGCAATTGCCGGGGCCAGGACATCGTGCTTTGCTACTTGGAGTGCTGTCAACTGGGAGAGATCTCACGGCCATTGTGCAGAGTATCGAACGCATGTTTATGAAACGGAAAATCTTTGTGCTCAGCTCCTGTTCGAGAAACAAGTACAGGTGATCCGCTTAGAGGGATACCAAGCGCCGAGCTTCTTATATTGGTCTCTGGTACCGGGCATAGTAGTGCTATCTCGGTGCGGATCACACAACGCCCGGTGCTTCCTCGGGTAGCAAAAAAACCAATTTCGCATTAATCTGTCTATGTTTGATGTCTCTCAGTCTGAAACTTTCTCTGGTTGCTCTTGAATTATCTTCCTGACCTCCACTTTGATCCCAACAGACAGGACATGGCTATCTAGCCCGAAGATAGATACGATGTATCTACAATTAGGAAACGACAACTGGCGTTTAGAATGAGGTTAGAGTCCAAGGGAACATCAGAGCCAGGGTCTAACTTTTGCATCCAACTTCCTGTCGGCTTGTTCTTACCCGAGACCCTGTTGATGGGCAGAAAAACCTGGCTTCGTTCACCTGGGGCAAGGGGACATCCCAAACTCTCTCTCTCCACTCTCTGCTCCGCATCACCTCACCTTCATCGTAAGGGATAGCCCTGGGCTTGATCTGCTAGCTGAACTCTATCATACGCTCGGGTTAACATTTCCCGTGTATCCCCGCATTTTGTGCCAGGCGTCTATTGTTTAAAAGCTATACTCCACATACGCATCGAGGGAATGTAGCCTCGGTGCTATATAACTTCCTTCAGGACATTGCAGAAGACCTTCTATGTTTTCCCTACTATAGCTGAACGAACTTAATTCCCGGCCACTATTGTCTCACTATGTTGCCTTTCAAGACTGTATTTTCCGCTATTTTCTTGGCTGTAGGAGGTTGGTCAAGGGTTCCTTAACACCAGCTCTCCGTACTTAAGCTCGTCGCTAGGCTTCCTCTTCGGCTATGATAGCGGTATCATTACCTCCACGATCTCGCTACCCACATTCCAAGAGTACTTCACCAATCCCAGCGACACCGTCACGGGTGGTATTGTTTCAGCATTCCAAGGAGGCGCCATTCTCGGTACAATGGTGAACATGGTCTGCGCGGACTGGTTAGGTCGAAAACGGACAATCCTGGTGGGTTCTGTTATCTCCTGTCTAGGCTGTGCCTTACAGGCTGGTGCCGTGAACATGGCGATGCTTATTGTTGGCCGCTTCATTGCTGGAATGGCCGTGGGAATGCTCACAGCTACGATCCCCATGTACGCTGCTGAGTTGTCTGAGCCAAAATGGCGTGCCACCCTTTCCGGGTTGCTTCAATGGATGTTGAGCTGGGGGTTTCTTGTTGCCCAGTGGCTTGGATACGGTTGTTCCTTTGCCTCTACGGAATTTTCATGTAATGTCTCAGGCCTTAATGGGATCAACGGACCGTACTGATTCATTCCAGGGAGATTCCCGCTCGCCTTTCAGAACATACCCGGTCTGATTCTAATTGCCGGCATTTGGTTTCTCGATGAGTCGCCACGTTGGCTGATGGAGAAGGATAGATATGAAGAGGCCAAGACAGTCCTTACACGGCTGCGAGGTAATGCCTCTCCTGGGCTAGTTGAGCTGGAATTCTGCGAGATCCGAGACGTCATCGACGCCGACCGTGCTGCTGGCAATACCTCTTGGAGGACTATCGTGACGAAACCATCCTGGCGTCGTCGGTTGATTCTTGGGTGTGGTGTACAGGCATTTGGACCTCTCTCCGGCATCAACGTGATTAATTAGTCCGTATCCAAGTTACTCGACAGGTTTGGATCCGTGCTAACCTGCCTAGTTACGGTCCCCGAATTTATGAGATCCTGGGGATCGACAATCAGACTTCGCTCATGATCATCGGGATCAGTGGCGCGCTTGCCATCGTGTATTGCACCATCTGTCTATACCCCGTGGACAAGGTTGGACGTGTTAAGCCGCTGATTGTGTCTGCTGCGTTTCTCGCCGCGTCTCTGCTCGTCAACGCCGTCCAAGCCCAATACATGGACGCCAATAACCCACACCAGCTGCGGTCCATGGTCGCCATGAATTTCGTATTTAGTCTCTTCTACACTCCTTTGGGTATCATTTCTTGGGTAGGCCTTCATTCCTGCATCCAATGCTGCCTCCATCACCCTAACCCGCTATCTGCTAGGTTTACCCGGCTGAAATCTTCCCCGTTGAAGTGCGCGCGCTGGGGAATGCCCTCACCACCTTCACCAACTGGACGGTCAACTTAATCTTTGCACAATTCACTCCCCGCGCGCTGTCCTCAGTGGGGTTTAAGTACTTTTACCTGTTCTTCGCGCTGAATCTCATCGCGATGACCTGCTACTACTTCTTCTATCCCGAGACGAAAGGGCGCACTCTGGAGCAGATCGATGAACTGTTCGGTGATCAGCTCGTACCGCACGCTCTGGAATATCCTGTTGGCGCACAGGCAGCCATGGAAAAGGAGGCACAGGTGGCCCATGTAGAGAATGAGGGCCAGCAATGACCTGGCACTAGATACTTAGCGCATCGTCTGGGCAAGTGAAGACCGTCATGCCACTCTCCTCTCTTGGCCGAGTAGCTTGACTCTGGGTAAAACCGCAAGCCAGTGGGCTCTCGTATCTTAAGAGTGCCAATGCGGGCACTAAATGCCTGCAGCGGCGAAAGACCAATGGGCATCTGAGAACACCGCCGCTTAAAACCCTAAAGAGATATCGAGGAAATTAAAGACGCGTTGAATGTCTAATGCGGGGGTCAAAGACCACTCAGCAATCGTTAGGTCAATCGATGGCATTCTCATTCGAACCGAATAGAGGCTGTATGTAAGGATGGCCATGTGCCAGGTTTTCGCAGCCTGCGAGGGCTCCACTTAGAGAACGTAGTTTTAATGCAGGTGAGTAAGTCTCGGGATATCATAGCAGTGACAGCACATCAGGTCAGCAAATGCTATTTCTAAAACATAGAACCTAAGAAGTCGAATGGCACCTTTGGGGACGTACTCCCGTCTTCGCACCAGTGGGCCATTACGCATCCTCTTGGCTGTGATGGGTGGCGACGGCTTTGCCATCATGCTCCCCAGGTGGGAAGTGTGATGCACCTCTGGTAGTATGCCTGGTCTGGGCGGAGCATAGGATGCCAAGAACACTTTATCGGTCTAAAGCTACAGCATTCCTCCGAGAAGACCAGAAGCCCTTGCATTCTGCAGGAAAGGGGTCGTGGCGAATGCCTTAACCAAGAGATCTACTCCTGGCGTAACTCAAGACTTTCCAGGTTCCAGGAGTTTGCGTGGCCTATTGACAGCGATCCATAGCAGTTTCCATACAGAGAATTCCCCGCGCATGAACAGCTGCATCCGGCAACATGGAGTAATCGATTGGGAGGCTTCCCTGGGAACTATGGATGATTCCTCTGATTCGGAGGCAATGGAGTGCTTTGCCGACGTAACTGCGAAGATCCAAGCGCTCGTGCTAATTTATGCAATATCGGTTAGATATAGACCGAGTGTGTACGATTCAAAGCTATTCTCATAAAGAGACGAAACTGCCAATACGCTGTAAGGGGATTCCCAGATACCTTGATCAGCGGTAGGTGCAGGAGAAATGGAAGATAAAGCATACATTCATACTACGAGCAGGCTTCTATTCTGTTGTACAGCTCGTTCTTTTGATCCTGCATCTCGTGAAATTTCATGATGAAGGCTCGTAGTTTACTGCATGTCCTGGCTCCCATTTCTTCTGTGCTCTCTACCTTCATCTCTCCTCCACGAGCTTCCAAACCTGCTTCCGTTGAAGTTTTCGTGATATACGATGCAGACTTTCTTTGTCAATAGCGGACGTATCTTCGCACTCGCGGGAGAATATGCTCCACTTCGCTATGCTGTGCCCAGTACCTGGCTAGACGACTTTGAGAAAACCAAAGCTCGCAGTTTCAACTCTGTCTCGTTCTACGTACTCTGATTCCTCGTTGAAGAAGAGCATGGAGGCTTTTCTGTCGAAAGCGTCTTTGATCTAAAAAAATTGTTCGGTGCAGCCACTCAGACAGGCATAGATCTGATGGCCCGTCCTGGGCCGTATTTCTCCACAAAACCTTCAGGCAGAGATCTCCCTGGGTGGATACAGAGAGTCAATGGCCTTCTGATCCGGACTCTTGGCTGCACCGAGAGCTGCATGGATAGCATGTACAAAATCATTGCCGATGGACGGAACTGGAGCGCCTCTGATACTCGTGCAACGAGTACTCCATGTTCAAGAGTGGGGCATTGGGTCCAGATGTAAAGTACATGCAATATTTCATGGATACATCAAGCGATGGTATAACTAGCGATGGGTACAACGCTCTGGGAACTGACCTGCGTGCTGTCGATAGCTAACGCTATGGTCAATGCCCCATCGGGGTGGGATGCTATGATCTATACAACTGGTCGGCTGAGTAGTCTACTGGAATGCACGCCTAGCCTTGAGCCAGAGTACTCCACATCTCGCCGCGGAATCCAAGCTGGAACCACTAGTGGATGGGGCGAGCTTGAATATTATCATCGTGGCCCAGCCAATACGAGTTGCACGCGTGGTCTTCAATAATCGTTATGCTTCCGGTGTCCAAAACTTTAGCTAGCATCTACTCAATCGAACTGGGAAAACCTAACTTATCTAGGCCTTTATACTAATTCTGAACTTGGGGCCTTGATTGATGAGGGCACTGTCGTCCCCGAGAAATATTCTGAAACTAAATTGAAAGGTCAACACTTCAAACTATCACCGAGTTACTACTCTACACGGACTGTCAAATCGGATTTACCACATTCACGGACTCAGCATTTAAAGTAACCCGACCCAGCTCACTGATCAGAACGGACAAACCTTACTCTATATTATTCGTCATACTACATATGAAAGCTACGATATCACTCCGTATAGATGAGGTTGCCAACGGGCGTAGGAAGCCGTACAGTCCCCAGATTCGGGATTCCTGAGTTCTTAACGGCCATGGTTCAAAGATATATGTGTCTGACTACAGTACCAGCATGAGACGCTTCTTAATTCCACTGTAGAGGCCTTCGCCTGAAAGATATACGTAGACAGAACTGTGTTGGTTCTTCATGAGGACCAGAGAAGCTCACGGGGCTGAGGTAGTGGTAAAGGCCACCTGAGAATTATTGAAGGCCCTGGTTCATGTCAAAGGAGAGAGCAATGTTGTGTTTAACCGAAAAACGTCCCCAATCTTATTGTTCTCTAGGATGGAAATTGGAATTCTCTGGTTTACTAGGTACGTATTGGCTTCCCCACCCTTTGACAGCTCCGTACTGATTTCCTCAGACCGAAACAGCGAAGATCAATATTTTGTACCTATCTTGCCGTCAAGACTCGTGGTACTTATAACAGTTCCGAAGCGAATCCAACTGCTGCGATAATCAAGGCAGGTTACCTTGTTCACGATGCTAGCATCTCCGGATCAACTCTCCACGTTTTTGTCGTAACACAACCACCGAGGTTGAGGTCATTGGTGCGCCTCCATAAGTAAGGAAGCTTGAAATCAACGACAAACCTGTCGATGCAACGAAAGGCAAGACGTGCCAGACAAAAACCTTGGTTGAATATAAGCCACCATCCCTTAGCATGTTGACCCCGAGAGCGCTGTCTGGGAGTATCACGATGAACTTCTGGAGATCTTACCCAAGTAGGATGGCTCTGCATGAATCAATGCAGACCTTATGCAGGCCAACAGCACACTCGCACTGCTCGCGCAGACTCATGTGTGATGCTGGTATGAAGGGGCGAGATCCGTAAAGGAAGCGAATAAGGAAGATATTTTAGGTACGAGAAGACATTTATGGACTTCAATGGAATAGCAAGAGTATCCTAGTCTAGAATTTCTGCAAAACATCGGTGGCAACAATGCTAGATCTATTTATCTAGATTCTCTCAGACTAACATCATTTCCCTAGACCTAGCATCTGGGACGAGGATCTACGCCATCATCCAGCAGTGAGGCATACTGATATATCTATTATGTGATTTTGAATCATTGGTCTTCTATAATATTCTTTTGACTACAAACATCACCGGCATTTGAGACAGGATTTGTAGCATGTTATTATGTGTGAATGGTCTGGAAATGTTCCTTCTTCGCCTAAATCTAAGATATCGATTCCCAAATTACTCGCCAACAGTCCAAGGGTGAATAGGAGACGCAAGCCAGTTACCGTACTGACCACGGCATTTAATAAAAACCAATCTGAGTGCGGTTTATCATGTCCGTCATTGTCGAAGAGAAGACGAACAGAGACCACCGTCTCCAGCCTTCTACCTGCCTTTACTCTCTACCGGTAAAACTCTTCCCATTTCTCTCGCTCGTTCCCAAACCACTTCTGTGGTTCGACTCACAGAAGGACGGTCTTCTCCCAATCGTGCTTTCCAAAGAATACTCCGAACGGAACTGTTGTCACGGCCATGACGCCCGCCAACGACGAATACATGATAACTAGATGAGGGTCCTTGGTGATGGGCGTAAATGCCATGGCCAGGCACGCCCCAAGCCCAGCCGAGGCCATCCACACCGATTGAGCTAGCGATTTCCTCGTCTTCGGGGCTTGGTTGTAAGCATATTCCGTCCCAGTCATGAAACAAAAGATTTCCGCAATCGCACTGAGAAGGTAGATCGGTGTCTGCAGGAACATAGAGATCTGATTGGGAATCTGGCCGTGGTTTGGCTTCGGACATATCAGGGGATAATTGTAACAGGGAGCCGTGGAGCAGACCAACCTCTGCAGGATCGTGGTATAGGCCATAGCGAGGGTGAGAAATAGAAACCCCACAACAATGCAGATATAGACCCTTCGAGACCACCGGCATCAGATATTCATTGATGTATTCATATCATTCCGACAGGGCTCGGAATACAACCCTAACTCATATAGGGTTCATCCCGAGCGGAGTAAATTTGCGATTAGTAACCGGCAGGAACTCCGACTTCTCTTCCACCTCTTGACCATGACGACCGCTGATAGTGCTCAATCACAGAGGCTATTCACCATGAAGAACACTGCTAGGGGCATGGTCCGGAAGAATGGTAAACCAATCTCCTGCGAACCGTGTCGCATCTCCAAGATCCGGTGTGACCATCAACAACCAACGTGTAGACGATGTGATGTTAGGGGCTTAAGTTCTAAGGTAAGAATAAACTTATAACTTCAATTGCTGTCTGAATCTGGATATGAACTCAGGGTAAGATACAGACTGACAGCACTAGTGCTACTATCATCCGGCCCCTTTAACTCGACCACGGAAGAAAGCACAGGCACCTCGCAGTGTGTCTCCTGTAAACCCATCGCGTGCGGATGATGAGGCCTTGGAAACCTCTACCAGCCCAGATGACAGCATCGTACCAACTGGGCCTCAAATAGGCTTGACGTCTACCTCCCAACTAACGTATTTGGGGTCCACCAGTTTTATGTCAGCGTTTCACCGCGATCAACGGGATATGAGCCTCTCAACACCGAAAACTGCCCATGCATCCACTTTGCGCAAGGCTTGGAGTGCGGACTTCACTCACGTGTTTCCCCGACTGGTGCAGCTTCTGCGTCCCCTCAGGCTCTATGAAGATTTAATAACCGACAAATACCATCGCAGCCCATTCACCGTCATCCCAGCGCCTCTTGTGCTTACGCCCTTACGGTTGTTGCGAAACCACTGGGACAGGGAGGGATGGCCGCATGAGGGCTTGGGATCCCAGATCACTCAGAACACAGCCACCAATGTGATCAAGGTGGAAGCGAATATGACAACGCACCGGTTTTACCGTTTGTTCACTGGTGTGAATCTGCGATGGGAGTTTGTGGGCCTCATATTCGCTCTGGCGGGGCTCGGGGCCAGCATATCATGTCCCTCCCCATTGTTCTCTCTGAACGGCAAGGATGAAATCAGCCCAGATGCCTTTGCCATGGAGATGGCAGCTGCAAGTCATGCATGCATTGAAATCTGCAGGCAGTACGACAACGTGAATGACTTGGTGGTTTGGCTGCAGTACACGTATTTCGTATTAGGATCAAATATAGACGGAGAGACGAGTAATACCAATCCACTCCACACGATTGGTGCGCAATGCACGAGGCTAACAGACAATAGACCATCATATTTACGCACAATTTGGGGACTTGGTCTCCTGCATCCATGCAATGGGCCTACACCGTCCACATCCTCCTGACTCCTCCGTCCCCTTCTTTCTCTCACAGACCCGCAAGAGGGTTTTCACAGCGTCATATCGCACCGACAAGAACCTCGCTACTTTCCTGGGAAGGCCACCTCGGCTTTCCTACCATTATTGCGACGTGGAACTACCCTTAGATCTCGATGACCATAGTCTCATCCTGGATCACCTTTCCCTCGACAAAGCTGTCAGGCAGCTTACATCGGATGGATGGGGTGGTTTCAGCGGTGGTCTTCGCCCTGCCACAGTCATCCGGTTGCGATATATGATTGCGAGGTTGCGAGAGCAGGTGATGGAGCTGTCCTTGGGGCGGGGCTTCGTAGGTTCCAGAGAAAGTGAACTCCAGTAGGACAAATAGCGTAGATTTCTCGTTCGTTATGGTGAAGCTAACATGCCTGTAGGATGACCTATCAAGAGTGTAAGCGATTGTGGGATAGAGTGCCCAAGGAACTTCACTACAGCAAGCGCTCCTGGGAAGTTCTGGGTCCGCACTTGTCCATAATTAGCCTGGTCATCCATCTGGAATACCTCTATACGGTGTTCCAGGTCGAGCGCATCCGTTGCAGCGAGAGTCCCGATGCCATGACCGATCTGCTGGACTCGGCCATGCAGATTGTCTCGGCAGTCACGGACTTCGCGAAGCAACGCGAGCAAGAAGACAACATCCGAGAGCAGTACACGTGGATTGTAAGTCATTATAACCCGTCTGTATCCAATTATCTAACCTGTCGCAACCAACTAGTTCCTTTTTTACGCTCTCCCGGCAGCAGGTGTCGTTGCAACCGAGCTCCATCGCTGTACGGTGTCCATGGTGCCACTGCCATGTTCCATGCCCCGGTCCAGGATTATCCGTGATCTAAACCTGCTTGCATCCTGGTTCGAAAGTGCCAACCCACCGACTAGTTACACACATCAGGCGTGTGTGGAGGTCACCAAGGCCATAATCAAACTCTTAGATGATACTTTGGATTACCCGTCAGGCGGGCAGACGGTAGATGGACCACAGCCTGATACAGGCAATCGTCCTGGGCCGAACAGCGGTGATCAAGTTCGGGATAGTTCCCATTCGATTATAGGGTCCATAAATACCCATGGACAAAGTGAGGCAATACCAAACGTGGACACTCTTGAAACCAGTGAGGATTTCTTGAACTGGCTGGATGAGCTGGGGCTGGACACCAGCGTCCCTGAGTTCTTTCGGTGGCAGTAACATACAATAGCCATCATCGAGTCTGGAGGGGAAAGACTGAGTTGAGGGAAGCTATTCGGGATCTTTGTGAAGGGTCTGGATAGGTGAAGGGTATGCAAGAGTGACTTGTTCATTCATTCTAGGCTGTTGCTGGGACTGATTATATTGAATTATCTGGTAAGGTATAAATTGAGTCGAAAGCCGAGCTAGGATCCTTCTTTCTGCAAAGCTTGGTGGCTACCACTTCTCTTGCTCTTAGCAATGGAATTCTCATCCATCTTAAGCGGCCACTGTTATTGTTGATCAATGTGATACTGTCGAGTTGGGGATGCTTCGACAGTTGCCGGTTACTTATCTTGTTCACCGGAAGATACGCATCTGTTCTCCTTTGTATTATCAATTATTCTACGATTGTTCATACGGTGTATCGGGCCCTAAGTTCAGAACTTGATCTTAATGACAACTTCGACAAGAAAGAAAACACCATACACTCTTGGTATACAGCTCGTGCTCTTTTCCAAACAGATATACTGTACTAACCTTGGCCAAAGAAGAACAGATCTTTCTATCCTATGAAGCAACGGTAAATAAGGCAAGCGACGGCCGACTGTCAAAGTATCCTCGTCTTCCGGTAAACGAAAGAAGCAACTGGTGAGCCCTGTTGAAACATCTTCCTCGTCCGTCAAAACAGGCAAGCCACCGGCACCTCTGGAGATATCCCCATCTTCCAGCAAATAAGAAAAGCGACTGGCGACTGTCAAGTATTCTCATCTTCCAATCCTGATGAAGTCTTGGTCATTCGCCATGTTCTGATACAGTTGATTGTGTACAATCCTCATCGCCAGTGGACCGGCAGTATTGGAACTTGTATCAATTATTATCCTCGCCGATACTATCTTCTTTCTTTGCCGCTAGCCAAAATATATCGGTATCTTTGTCTCAATATCACTCTATATCTTCTGTAGTCTTGTAAATCTTTTTCCTTTGCTACTTCTTTTTGATTCATGAACGATCACATGGATACTGCGGTAGATCAGAAATCGAGGCAGTGTCTTGAGAAGAGTCTTAGTTGCAAGGAAGCCCCGTTGTAGCGCAGAGAGGGAAGCCATCTGGATTCCTTTGGATACAAGAATCTCCATGATATATACCGTTTTCAAGAGCTCGATAGGTCGTTTCTAGGAGCAGCCGTTGCTGTGGATAAGGGGCCTTTCCTTACTGGCATCTGTAGAGTATAGGGCCATCATTCGGAGCGTCTACGTTAATATTGAAATTTGTGGGATTCAACTACAGGGTCTAGGTGAACTCTCACCCTTACTATTGATCCTATCCCGGGGGAAGTCTTGACAGACACATCGACTTTCACCATCAACTCCCAATAGTAGTCAAGGTCCGTAACACCTCCAAGGAGTTGGAGTGATAGACCAATGACCGCTATTGGAGCCAGGCTATCCTGTTCCAGGGACTAATCCATAGGTAGACGGAGAGGAGCTACGAGAACTGAACGAAGAAGGCTGCACGTACAGCATACAAGATAAGAACGAGTAAGAATCTTTGCCTTGGTATAATCCTGTAGGAACGATAACCACAGCATCAAATGGGCCTTCGTGCTCGATAAAGTCCTGGAGATTGCTCAAAGCCGCATTAAATGTCTCGGGCTTCTCCGGGTCAAAATAAGCAAAGCCACCATCGGTGGTGCGAAAATAGGTCGCAACCCCTGCTAGGTTGTAGTAAGTGTATGGCCCGCTCCCTACCAGGGTCCATGGGGTGTGGAATTGTTCCTTCGGCATAATCATATCGCTGTCGGACCAAGTGGGAGAGACTAGATCTGCATCTCTTTATGAGTGCCACCCATGAGGGGCTCGGGCTTCCTGTCAGTTGTTACAGGAAGTATCAGCGAGAGTACGAGGTATCGAGAATACCAATAGACTTTAATAATGGTTGTACATGCACGGAAAAAAGCGTGTCATGTCCCAGGCATTCTCTGACCACGCCCTACGTGATATAGAGCCCCGTGTGCTTTCCGCTATTCCAGATTGGTTTCATGCTGGAAGAGGCAGATAGACTTTTCTCACAAACAATTAACCGATCTTGCAGTGAATATGGAAACTACCAAACACCGAGACATTGTCTACTTCCTGCAGCAGGCGCGAGATCCGGAGACCGGCGAAGGGGTATTCACAGGCGGAGATGATGGGCGAGGGCAACCCCGGAATGGGGGAAATAAGACCACCACCCAGGCCGGCGAGACGATGTAGATCTGCTTGGCCACGCGGCAGGATAGCACAGCCTGGGGCAGCATTTGTTCTAAATTTCACAAGATCTGATACCTCATAGCTTAGAACTATCTCTCAAACAATTCTGGTGCCAGTCATACTTGGACTCCATACTCGAGCCCCACATATAAAGATGGCCTCTCGCTGCCCACTACCCGAACTAAAACAACATCATATCTCAATCTCCAAGCGCTAGGTCATCATATACCTAATTTTTTATTGTTCTGTACCAAACATCGGTATCACCAACATGAAGTGGACCACTATCTTGATCGCTCTCGGTGCTGTCTCTACAGAGGTACAGTGCCTTTTTAACCCATAACCGTTTCGCCGTAACCGAACAGAGTAGCTATCTAGGCTCTCGAATCGCGCGACTTCGATGGCAAGGTCACTTGCGGTGGTGGCTTGCCCGCCGATTATAAAGCAATCAAGGGTGGTATCGATTATCTGAACGGCGTGGGTGGCACACCGGTGGAAGACCCGAATAAGTGTGGCCGGGTGAGCTGCTCCTATAATTCCGCCATCTACATGTGTAACTGGGTAAGTCAATCACTAGATGTCGTACTTGACGAGCTCGGACAAGATACCTAGACCAATGAGAAACAAGCTCTCAAATCATTTGCCACGCTTGCCTCTGGTGCACAAGCAATTATCGATAAATGTACGAATGTCCTAGGTGTTGTTGGGAAGGTCGAGGCTCCAAATGGATGGGGTGTGAAGGTTGCCTATGCTACCTGTTAGATGAGACTGTCAAGGGCGGTTTTCGACCCCAATTCATCGTCCGAAACTCCCTTTGAAGGACTATCAGGACTGCTAGTCCCGACTGTATAATTCAGGTCCTATGATGTGTCGTATCGGCTGCTTGTACTAGGAAGGCCAAGTATTATGATGGAAACAAAATATTTGACTCTGCAAGATATCTCTCCAGCGCACTATGTGTTCCATGATAGTATTATTACTGTGAGTGTGATGTTCATAAGTCATTGTGATGAGATTGACAAGTATTAAAATAGCTGATTATGGACCACTTGATAAATTACTAGAAATAACATGAGATAAAATCTTCGAAAGTCAGGTCATTCTATGTTCCCCGCTAACTCCCAGCCTCTCTCCATATCCGAACCTTCAACTGGACCACGATCATGGTAGCGGCTCAGGGTCATCGGCGTTTTGTCTTTTTGGTGCTCACAAATGGAGCAGATGGACGTGAGCGTTTCTTTTGATTAGGACTGGAGTCACTATCCGCTACACCGAATAGAAGGCTCGTACTGTGCTCATTGATGTACTGAATGATAGCCTGAATCCTGTCACGTCCCTTCAACATTTTGTAGTGGTTGTCGCAATCAACCTTCTTCATGACAATGTTGGGACATTGGTTCTTCCACCACGCAGCTGTGCCATCCTGGAAACGCTCAGGGAGGCCGAGGTAAAGACATCTTCCCGGGTATAAAGCAGGCCTGGCGGAGTGCTGAAGGACTCGGATGTGACGGTCAAAGTGTTCTCGGAACGGAGCAAGATCTTCAGGCTCAACGTCCGACATTCCGAGGGAGTTTCGGATGATTTCTTCGTCTGAGTTGCCAGCCGACGTGCGATTGATAGGTTCATAGGTTCCCGGATCCAGTAAGACAACAGATGCGGTGTGACTTCCGTAACGTGTCCCCCATAGCTGTGCCATTTCGAACGCGATCAGCCCTCCGACGGAATATCCACCAAAGATGACGGGCCGACCACGGATCAAATGAGGCTTGAGATTGATCAGATATGAACCGGCCCATTCCGCCAATGTCGCAGGACAAGAATCTGTACCAAAGAACGGATCGTCGACGAGAATAACATTGAGGCGGCGATCCAGTAGAGGTACAAGCGGCTCGAAGATGGTCGACTGCGCCAAGAATGGATGGATAAGAACAATAGTTGCCGTGCCTCCCCGGTCATAGACGTGCAGATTGCCTGTAGTACGGCCATTCCGTGCTCTATCACGGATCCTAGCTGCTTGGACCTGGATAGTTGAGGATGGAGCGACATCCGCCATGTCTACACGCAGTCCCGCTCGGCGAAGTAGGGCCAACAAGGTGATTGAACGAATAGAGTCGCCACCCAGCTTGGAGAAGGGCATAGTTATGTCGACCCGATCTTCCTTTATTCCCAATACCCTCGCCCAGACCGATGCGATGGTGGCCTCAAGAGTCTCCGGTATGGCTGGAACAAGAACCTGCCTTCCAGCCGATACATCTGCCATGCACTGCTCATAGGCTGCATTGGCCATTTTCTGGATTGCTAGCTTGTTCGTTTTACCATGTGCTGTTCGAGGCAACGGCTCCTTCGGAAGTAGGAGATGCGCAGGTACCATGTAATCCGGGAGGCTGCACGAAATGTGGTCCTTGATCGAACTCATAAGTTCGTCCCCATTAATCGAGGGCGAGTGGCTTAGTTCGACAAAGGCTATTAGAGCCTCAGAGTCATTGTTTACTGCCTTGGCTACCACACACGCTGTCACCGCAGGATGAGTTTGGACAACTGACTCCACTTCATTAATATCAATTCGCAGACCCCGAAGCTTCACTTGACCATCTTCCCGGTCGAGATACTCAAGGTTACCATCACTGTGGAATCTGCCCAGATCGCCTGTTCGGAACATTCTTCCCTCGCGCGATGGGGCAAATGGATCAGGCGTAAACCGACATACAGTTAGGTCTGGCTGGCCGAGGTATCCGCGCGCAACCTGTGGTCCTCCAATGCAGATTTCTCCAATGGCACCGATCGGTACCGGCTCCTCCGTCCCAGGTCGTAGGATGTATATACGGCAACCCCCAGTGGGAGATCCAATTGGAAGGTATGCCCTGGCACGCCCACTCTCGGCACTTGGTCCTTGTAGCTGACATGCTGTTGCTTCAATAGTTGTTTCACTTGGACCATAGCCGTTCCACACGGTGAGCTCCACAGGTGTCCTACGGAGGAAGCTGGCACGAAATGGCTCACCTCCAAAAACTAGGTTCCGGAGATGTGGCAATTGCCTACTATCCTCACGAAGATCGTCGGGCAATAGACCACCGAGTGTAGGGGTCAATGCCAGGTGCGTAATGTTCATAGTATCAAGCCAGGTATTGAGCTGCGACAGCATATTGCTACGTCTCACCAGGGAAAAGCGACCACCCTTACATAATGTCGCGAACAGATCACCCATAGAAGCATCGAATGTATAGGCCAAGAATGCAAGCCGGTTGGAAGTCCATGAACAGTCGACACTTCCTTTCTCGGACATTGTAAACGCTGTTAGATTTCGATGCTCAACCATGACTCCCTTTGGCACGCCCGTAGATCCTGAGGTGAACAGGATATAAGCTAGACTGTTCGGAGAGGTAGGCCGGCTCCCTCCGGATACTGGTCCGCCTGACTGCCTGAGATCGCCTATTGTGTAGGCGACAGCTCCTGTTGCGTTGGTCAGGCTATTGATCTTCTCACTGCCGTTGATGCCATCCCATATCAACATTGGTGGTTGTGTAAGATCACAGATTTCCTGAAGCCGCTTGATTGGATAGTTCATATCTAACGGAATGAAAGCTGCTCCGGCCTTCAAAATAGCTAAAATTACAACCACCATATCCAAAGACTTGTCAAAAGCGATTGGAATCAATGGCTGATTGTCAACGTCAGTCATCCTGTTCTCAAGCATGCGTTCGATACTACCAGCAAGAATCGTCGCAGAATCCAACAGCTGTCGATATGTGAGGAACTGATCCTGCTCAAACTGAAGGGCTATCTTCTCCGGGGCCTTCTCTGTCTGTTGACTGATAATATCGATTACAGTTCGATTGGGGTCGTTGGCCATGACATCCTGTGTACTTGCTAGCTGCTGCAATTTCGCTCTTTCATTGGCACTGATCATAAGTCTGGCGTCAATTTGTTTGTGTACGGCCTTTCGTGCAATTGATTGATCGGCGATGAGACTGAGCGCATCAATAACATGTTGCATTACCCAGTCGATATCTCCCGGCGGAAGTATAACGGGATCAAATACACATCTGATTGAAAGGTGGCCAGTTGTGGAATGGCAAGACACTTCAAATACCAAAGGGAAGTCCACACGGCCTTGTTCAGATTGGGATATGGTGAAGTCATTTGTCTCTGGGCCCGCTTCCTGGTAAACGAATAGGACTTGGAACGGTAGTAGATCGGGATTTTCACTTGATAGCCTAATAGACTCGAGACCAATTTGCTGATAGTGCATAGTATCCAAGTATGTGTCTCGACAAAGGTTGAGCAGAGCATGTAGTGATATTCTTCGAGACTGCGTACTACCATAACTTTGAAACGTGTCCTGCTTTGCCATGTTAATCCTGACGGGGTGCGTAGCAATACAAGGACCAGCCACAAAGCCGGTGTGATATCTACCACTTGACACCTCACCCAGGATCACATCATCCGAATTGCTATGTTCTGCTATGGCTAAAGCCAAGGCTGCCCTTGCCATTGCAGCTGGTGTAATCTGGAATCTCTTCGCAATTTTGCGAGCG